ACTGTACCTAATATAATCGTAAAAATGTACATCTGAATATTTTATTATATTCTGCCTTTCATCAACAGCCCTTTACAGTCCACTGCTGGACTATGAGCCTCCTCCACTATAGTGGAGGGTTTTGCCATAATCTCCACGCTTGGCAGGCGGGTTGGAGATCGCAGTTTAAAAGATTGATGTTTTTCAGAGAGCGCTGCTGCCCATTCTCTGTTTGATGTGTAGTCCCTAAGTCGCCTCTTACGACACCCGCGGGAAGAGTAGGGGTTGGTGACAAATGTATTCTGCCTTTAACGATACTTAATAACATTCTATTTTTATATCTTTGCAAAAAACGTCATATTGTAACTACATTAGACAGGCACATAATATAAGTAGGCATCATTGCGAGAGAATTAGTTCTCTCATCTCGACTCAGACGGCAAATTGTGTTAATAATTTATTGTGCAAAGAGTTGGCCCACGACAATGGAGCCCTATCTTGTGTTTGCACAACCGTCTCCATGTATTTACTGAAGCCGATGTTCTTCAACTCATTAAATATCTGAGGCAGATCCATTGTTGTCAAATTAAACACGCCCGAAATCTGCCAGATACATCAACATTAATTTTTAAACTTCACTAGCTTTGGGCGTGGCTCACTGAATTGAATAAGAGCTTCTTTCGTTGTTTTGAAAATAAACGAGATTTTCTTTTTTGGGTCTAAAATCTGTCTGGCAGAGTTCGATCTAATCATAAGTTCGTATTTTACCTTACTGAGTTTGAATTATTCCTTTATCAATAAGGCCCAAAATCGTGAACGTTTTTGTAACTAACGGAACATAATTAAGGGCAAAGCGAGGAATCCTACTAAAGAGCAATTTATCAAATTTTAATAAAGTTCGGCTCTGCGTCGCGCGCCACAGAGGGAAGCCTTAAGTGTGATTTTTTAATCGCCCTGAAGCCGGCAAACTGATCGAATTAATAGAATGTTTTACAAACACATGGGAAAGGCACGAGTCTAATTTTATTAGATTTGCTCATTTGGCAATTTAATAACGTGTTCACGTTACGTTAGGCGTACTTAATAAAGTAATTTATGTTTAAAGCTGAATATTAGGTACCTACCTAGCTTATTATTTTTGAAACTTAAACAGAATTTATCGTCAATATTTTTACTATTCGTTCGTTCGTTTCAGCCAAATGACGTCCACTGGTGGACAATTTACTTTAAAACTACAAAATTATGAAACTATACAATCTTAAGTAGGTACACTAAAATAGTACTAACCCTGATCTCGGCTAGATACTTTGAGCAGCTTAGCGCCTTGTTTTGAAATTATGTACTTCCTATATAAAAGTAACTTATTTTGAAAAATACTTTTACTGTATCGATCGTTGTAAATTTAAATGGACTTATACGGAGAGCAATAACAAATAAATGATGGAGAAAGCGGTATTTTTGGCAAGTGCTGTGCGCGCTAAACAACGGGACCTAAATAATTCAGCATCCAATTGGCGCTGCGCAAATACAGGGAACATGCCTGTGTTGCCATAAAAACAAGCGTTACCCCACCAAGAACACAAGTAAATAAATACCACTTCAACAATAGTTTAAAAGAGAAAATGCTGCATTTGGAAGTTGCAGGAAAAGTGTTAACAAAAGAATTTGTAGCAGTTTGTAAAGTTAATTTCTGGAAATTGTATTTTTATTTTTACTTGGAATGGTTAACTTTGTTCAGTAAAAATGTATACATATTATTAAGATTTCTTAAAATTTAAAGCAACATTAGTGCATAGACTGGTACATGGAGGTATATTCCATTCGATAAAGTTAATAATCATGTACCTACTCTATTTTCAGGTGTAACAGCAGAATAACTGCATTTACTGTATTCAGTAATTATCATAAAATATTATAATGGTTAATGTCATGATTTGTGTAAGTTGGTATTATTAGCCCAAATAAAAAGTAAGTTTTTAACTTTTCCTACTATTTTAGATTTTTTATCAGATCACGAATGTTTAACGCACGTCTAAAGTAGGTTACCCGAAACTTTAACGGCTTTAACTAAGTTGAAACAGCTTATTAATCACTATATTTCCCTGAAACAAATCGGTTATTCAAGAACCAAATTGAAGCAGCAAAAATTAAAAAGGTACTGCCCTCTCGTAAATCGGAAAAAAACTCTTTAATAAATCCGAGAGAAAGCCGCAAAAGTGGCCTTAATTAGTCGTAATGTTGTGCTTTTATCGCCCTCGGCGCCCGGCGCAATATAAATAAATCAAATTTAATTAACTCAGATTAATTTTCGCCACTGACGAGTCTCGGTGGCCCTTTTTATCCGCCCTCAGCTAAATTACAGTGCGGTTGAAAACTTCTTTAGCTCCTGACTTACTATGGATTCCTTAATAAAAAGTTTACATTGAAGCAAGTTTCGTGAACATGGCTTCTAAGCCCTATAAAGTCGTTAGATATAAACATCACAATTCACAATGTTCATTTTTGAGGGTGTTTATCGCTTCTTTTATCGAACAGGTAAAAGTTCAATCGGAAAGCTTCCGATTAATTAATTTCTATAGCATCAATTTTCAGACTCTCTATTTTCATCACTAATATTGGTTTAGGCAGGAATTCCAGCTAAGTAATTACGAATATTTCATTATTCGTAAACAAAATTCGGTATGTTTTAACTTGATTTAGGTTTCTGATTACTAATCGAATGGTCAAAAAGTAATTTCAGCGATTCGTATTAGGTAGTAGAACGATACTTTTACACATTTGGAGCACATTGCAAGCTTGAATCAACTTGCTAGTAAATAAAATTAGGTGAGTGCGAAAGCCACTCTATTATCCATAGACTCTTTAGGTATCTGTCTTAAAAGATGACGAAAATTAAAAAAATATAACTATACTGTAAGAGCTTCTTTCAAACGTTGACCGCTATTGAATAGTGAATTTTCTTTTTCAGAAGTGATCGAAATGTCATTTCCTTGTGGAATCAACTGTAGTGTGGTTAGCAGATTGGCCCGATCGTCGTTTGTCGTGGGCGTGCAAACAGTCCGTTCTGGGTGGCGCTCGCCGAGTGGACGGCACACACGACTGCCACGGTAGCCCAAACACGATACTTTCACGATCGGCTGTCGAGGGCCCTTGGCGGGCGTACCGAGACAGCTTTGCTCATACAAATATCACGGTTTAACTAAATAAACGGCTGTGGATTGTGGAGCATTTGGGGGATATTGGATAGTTTAAAATTAATTCCGCAAGACTACAGAGTTACCTACATTTTTTTACTGCTCTTGCAGCAACGGAGCTTTTATCAAGTTTTTAAAAACTTTTGAACCTTTGGAAAATACAACCTCAATTTGATATCCTTTATCAAAGCAAAATCGTGAAAATACCGATATTTTTTGCGAATTACCTGAGTACCTACATACTACCTAAGCAAAAAAATATTTTAAATGAAATCAAGAAATATATTATATTGTAACCCAAGAATATCTAAACGTTATTAAATGATTAGCGAATAAGTTATTTGTCCACTAGTCTTTGAAAAATGTGTAATTTTAACCTAGGTATGTATAGGTACTTAATTTTAATGCTCTCATTTTCGGGCCACCCACATCGCCACTCGTAGTAAAAAATGTTTAGTCACTATTTGCCCAAGGGCCCGCAGTAGCTACCTAAAACGTTACGCTCTGCTAACATGTCATAGAAAAAAGAATAACCACGCGCTAAGATTATTGACTGCTGTCGTGTGTCGCGCTTTAAATTCTTATCCAATCCTTTTATTATTATTTACCATTATAGCCTTTGAATAGTCATGTAGAAAGTCTTTATTGCTTGTAACGCAAACAAAACACTGTCGTATTTACAGTAGTCAGCCACACAGTCACAATCCATATTTAACTTCTTACAAAAAGGATAATTTTATATACCTACGCTACCTAACTTCAGAAATGATGGGTTCAACAAGCTTTCATGATTATTTTATTAAATCATTGGTTTAAATGGCATCTCATTGTTTTTACGTGATCAACGTTTAGGCTGTAGGATTTATTTAAAGGTAACTTTCTTATTACCCCCTAATCCTATTACCAGTTATTTAAATAGATTTAAGTAATTCACAAATAAGCCAAAATACCACTTTATGCTAACTTAAGTTGGATTAAAATCCTTTGCCAGGTGATGTAATGACTTATAAAATTTATGTTACCCTATTAAGAAAAGTAAACTGTCTTTTTATTTGTCACCGTCGGTGCTTTAGAAAAAAGTTTTTAACTTGAATAATAAGTAAAAAGGAACGGTGAAACCTTTAAACCAACAAAGAGGTGAAACCTTTACTCTTGCTATTGTGTTCTGATTACGAAATAAGTGGATTTAGAAAACGTGTTCAAAGATGTTGGATAAATACATACAACCACCCATTGTCACAAAATTCGGCTTTGTTTTCTAGGGTTTTTGTTTTAGGGGTCTTTATAATCTGAGAATCCTCAAAACTTATTCAAACTCAAGTAAACTTTTCAGCCTGTAATTTACCAATCACTAAGTACTATTTACCAGGATCTGAGTAAACTTAGTAGAAGTTGTGACAACCTCACCTCAATTTTGGAGTAGTATCCCAATTTATATTTGTGCAATAAAATAAAATTATGAAAATTGTTTGGAATTACCTTTGAAATAGTTTTACTAAATATTTCGACCAAAGTATTTCCCTATTTTCAGATGTTTTCCTAATACGAGTAAAACCTTGATCTTATGACTAGACTTTATTACAAACACCACAGTGCTTTTATGTTCGAAGTTCCTACTGGAAAACATAAATCTACACCCACTAAGCTTTTTCACCTACCATTACGTTACTTGCTAGTAATGCTAGTGAATCACAGTACAGTTGTGTGCAGTTGTAACTGGTTCATTGATTTGTAGCTGTATTTTTCCTAAATAAACGGTATTCTGTATTGCAGTACTGTATGTAACTGTACCTATTAATAAATAAATAAAGAAAAATAAGCACATACCTCAACCCTCTCCTCCTTCAGGTCGACCCTCAACGCGAGCTGTTCCCGCAGCACGACGTCGGGATAGTGCGTCTTGTCGAAGGTGCTCTCCAGCTGCTCCAGCTGCTCCTCCGTGAAGATCGTGCGGTGCCTGCGCTTGCGCTTGGGCGGCGGGCCGGCCAGACCTGCCAGCGCTGCCGCCGCGTACCCGCCGTATAGACCGGCGTACGCGCCGTGGTTCGCCCCTACGCCTCCTACACCTGTAGAATGAGATATTATGAGACATTGCTGTTAACCTACACCTCCGAAATGAAATAATTTTGAGACAGTCTTTAAGGCAGAGTTCACACGTTTTGTAATATCGCTATATTTAACGCCCGTCCCTTAAACAGAAAGATATCGTATGTCATATGAGGTAATATTAATTCCTGTAAAATAATCATTTGAGTAAGTATTCCAAACCGCCCTAGGCTTCAGCTATCCTCCGCTGGATGTATAATGAACTGGATGCTTAGAGGTACCAGCACATCCTAATCAGATTAGGCGACAATTTTATCAACGAAATTAGATCACTTTCCTGGTTGGATAATGTGTTTTAAAGAAATCTCGTTAATAATAAGTTAACACATATTTCTCAAATATTAATCCATTTATATTTTATGTTTTAAATTAAAATAATTTGTTTGAACGTTTCCTAAAAATGCATTCCTAATCTGAATGTTAGAAACTCGCAAAAAAGGAGATCTTCCAGACATGATGTCGAACGTCACGTCGCTTACGCGTAATGTGCTCACCGCAGGCCAAGCGAGAGGATCCGGGCTTAGCGCCCCCGGGCCCGGCGCACTCCGGTAAAAATATTAAAACCACAAATAAAAATTGAATATTTTTGCATACATCCCAGCGCCGGTATTACAAAGTATTATTGTTGAAAGAAATATAAAAGCTTTTAAGGCCCGAGGCGGAGATGGAGCGCTATCGCAGTGCTCGCCTTCGCGATTGTCGTAAGCCGTATTGATTTTTAAATACGTGTTCAGGTTGGTCCGACCTGATAATGTTATCACAATGGGCTGATCCATTTATTTGTAACTGTTACAAATGTTACAAGACAATCTCATTTCTGTCTAAACGTATTCACAAATTCTTGAAAAGCTTGAGTGAAATTAATAATTCACATAATAGCTTTTATTGAATGTCTGAAACTGATAAAAATAGAATCACTATTTCAATTTAGTAATATTATAATTAATTTTGTAGAATTTTAAACGGGTTGGTTGGCAGATTTCGATTTTCAATGAGATGTTGATAGTTGTTAGCAGGGCCGGATTAACCATCTCGGGGCCCCTAGGCACAGCTCGTTTCGGTAGTATTTTAATGGGCAACAAATGAAGCCATTAAAACAATAAAATCTTTTGTAGGAATTATTTCCGATTTAAAATCTAATTCTATGGCCTAAACGTTACGAAAATGAATAAACTTCCACAATATCGAAATATGACGATTGAATGTGTAAACCAAAATAAGGCTAAATTTGAGGAGGTTTGAGTTTCGTTGCATAAAAATAATCTTTAACATATGTTTCTTTTTCTTTTTTTTAATAGGGAGTGCTGGGCCCCTTGTCATAGTGGGCCCCTAGGCACTGGCCTAAAGTGCCTTATGGATAATACGGCACTGGTTGTTAGTACTAACATGCAATGCACCTATGTCTGATTTACTGAAATCCACGTTCCTAATAATAAGCTTGTTGACAAAAATGCCTGAATGGTTTCATTTAAATTAACCGAACATAATATAATATAATCCTACTTTACCGGGATTATTCCTCTGAATCCTAAATTACTGTTGTTGTTTATGAAACTTTTTTTTATTCGTTGATTTTAATCAAATAAAAAGATTTTTATAATATTCTAGAGACGAAAATACCTAATAAACAATTTAAATTAATTTATTTTCTGGTTATGGAACCCTAAGGTAAAAATAAAAAAAATATATTCTTTCGGCGGGAAGCAGCGTCAATCTAAGCGGTCAATTCTAAAACGCGGTTACCGTTTTAATCTGGCACTTAGCCAGAAGGATATCTTAGACTTGTCATGCTCACTAAAATGTCTCTGGGGTAGTGGCGTGTGAGGCGGGTCGTTACATTCCCTATAATATGGTCGAGTGAAGCGATGGCTGGTTCACACGTCATGTCTGTGAACAGGCGCTGCCTTCGGGGACTGGTCAAGGAAAGATATACCTGACATAAAATATATACAGGGTGGAAACGATAAGTGATCTCACTCGATTATTTCTAAATTATACAAGATATCAAAAAACTGGTTACTGATCCTGAAAGTGCTTCACGAGCTCTTTCAAACGGTATCAGTAATAGGTTACAGAATTAACTGGATCTATCCAAAAATTCATTGTTTTCAGCCTCCATACTAAATGTATGCCAGCCACACAATATTAGAAGTGTTAATTTTTTTATTTAATTATAAACACTTAAAATTAACTCGTAAATTGCATTCTTATTTAAAATTAATCATGGAAAACTTTGGTTTTAGGTTTTACTTGCTATAACTTTATCAGGACATGAGTGCCATGACAGTGGCAGTACTTAATGTATGGAAGCTGGAAACATTGAATTTTCGGATATATCTAGTTTATTTTGTAAACTATTATTGGTACCGTTGGATAGAGCTTGTGTAGGACTTTCAGGATCAGTAACCAGTTTTTGGATATCTTGTATAGTTTAGAAATAATCGAGTGAGATCACTTATCGTTTCCACCCTGTATGTATCAAAACGCAACAATTAACCTAGAAATTAGCATGGCACTAAATAAATATATTCAAAACTGCCATGCGGTCTCGTGCTAGATGGGCGTCTTAAAGGCCACCTTCTATCAATGGGAGCGCGTGGTAAGTAACTTGCTTCTGAATGTATTGTAACTTCCTACTTTTTTATATTTTTAAACCGGCAGACAGTGGTGACTGAGTTTGTTGCGGCGCTTCTTCTCAGCACTTGCCAAATGTTTGTCTCGAAGCGCTGGTAGGGCAAAATAATGAGACATGTATAGGCTCCTTAAGAGCATTTGACGATTTGCAAGAACTAATTTAATTAGTCTAAACAAATAAAGAAAATTTTGATTTTGATTTTTTTTTATTTTGATTTTACAACTTTATCTTTCGTTCTCGCTCATACTAGAATATATGTAGTAAACGAGATACAAGATACTTCGATGCTATGATATTTTCGTACAGAATAGCCCCCAGGATCATCTTTGGTTTAGCGGGGGCCCCGGGGCTCAACTTACCACGCCTATTGGGGAGCTTAACTCTTATAAACCACTCTAATTTAAAAATGCATTAGCATTTTTGTAAACGCATCTTTCACAATCTTTTGTTCCTTGTTGCCAAGTGACGCGTAATTTTCTTTTTTAAAAGCGGCCAATATTTTTACACCTGTCAATTTTCTCATTTCGGTGTGTCAATAAATTAAAAAAGTATTTTATCTAATTAAATTTTGTACAACCTTCATGCAAGTAACTTTTAAATGGTATTGCTGCATGTAAAGTATTTAATATTATAGTTATTTACGTGATATGAGAATGGAAACTAATATCGGAATATTAGACGCTCGCTGTATAATGAATGAATCTCGCTCGTCTCGAATTCTTGGTAACTTTAGCTAGCTAAAATACTTCGATAGAAGACTTATTTAGATACAATAAGGCGACCACGATTTGAAATATAGCTTTAAGTAAAGCCTTGTTCTCACCTAATCGATTAATTTAGTAGCTAAACTAGTCTGAACACCAAAAATGTTGTCGAGTAGGTTACTAAATCGTTTAGTCGAGTCAGTACATTTTGTTCTATTTGAAATGCTAGTAGCACCCTTCACCACGCGTCCCTGCTCACTCGCTCAACGGCTAAACGAGTCAGAACCGGGCGGTTTAGTCGAGTTCATACAAAAACCACTAATTACTTGTAAACTGTTCTCGACCAAAGTGCGAACGGTCAGTAGCAAGTAGTTTAGTTACTAACTAAAGGCGACTTCTAAATTACTCGACTTCTAAATTACTCGACTAGTGTAAACAAGGCTTAAAACATAGAGCTGANCAGTACCTCTATTACGAAAAACTTTCGAGTTCGTTTCGTTTGCGTATTCAAAGTGCCATCGAAAAATTTTGTATGAAAAATTAAACAGCGCCCCCTAGGGCGGCTATAATATAGGGGGCGCTGTTTAATTTTTCATACAAAATTTTTCGATGGCACTTTGAATACGCAAACGAAACGAACTCGAAAGTTTTTCATAATAGAGGTACAGGCCAGGAAATCTTTAACGTTTTACATAAATATATTGACTTGGCCATCGCATGAAAACACGTGTAAATTAACTTATTTAGTGCGATGGCCAAGTCAATAATTTATGTAAAACGTTAAAGATTTCCTGGCCTGGACTTGGTATTACACTTTTTACCGTAGAACAATTGAGTTGCGAGACTTGGGGTTTTTGACAAGTATTGTTTTTGATGGGATCAAAATAAAATCTAAGGTCCTGATATTAATGATAAAACCTCAAAGCTCGATCCAACCTCATGGATTGAAGCTTTTATTTGTTGAATTTCAATATTTATGGTGCTGCTGTCTTTCCTGAACTCTATAATCCAGGCTTTTTCAAGGCGAGAGTGAATAGACACCTACAGGGCAGATATGTAGGCTGCATCTCACTTAACACCAGGTGCGATTGCGGTAAAATACCTGCCTTGTTATGCATAAAAAAANACAGGGCAGATATGTAGGCTGCATCTCACTTAACACCAGGTGAGATTGCGGTAAAATAACTGCCTTGTTATGCATAAAAAATTTAGATCAATCACAGGACAGAATCTTGAATCTTGACTGAGAAAGAGTCGAGTTTTAACTTTATTTTGTAATACTAGCGGTCGCCCGCGACTTCGTACACGTGGATCCCGTTTTACCCCCTTCATCTATCTTACGCGGTTTAGATTTTTTCATACAAATGTTTTTTCCCGCTTACTCCCGTTCCCGTGGGAATTTCGCAATATCCTGTTGTCTAAGTTTTAAGTTTACTAAGGAACCTGCATACCAAATATCAAGCGTCTAACTTAAGCGGTTTAGATTTTTCATACAAAAGGATTTTCCCGGTAATTCCCGTTCCCGTGGGAATTTCGGGAATTCCTTTCTTAGTGCACCTCTACGGTACCTAAGCTACGTCCCTTCAAAATTTCAAGTTCCTACGTTTAGCCGTTTAGGCTGTGCGTTGATATGTCAGTGAGTCAGTCATACAAAAGGATTTTCCCGCGAATTCCCGGTCCCGTGGGAATTTTGCTATATCCTGTTGTAACTAAGCTTTAAGTTTACTAAGGTACCTGCATGCCAAATTTCAAGCGTCTAACTTAAGCGGTTTAGATTTTTCATACAAAAGGATTTTCCCGCTAATTCCCGATCCCGTGGGATTTTCGGGAATTCCTTGTTGTAACTAAGCTTTAAGTTTACTAAGGTACCTACATGCCAAATTTCAAGCGTCTAACTTAAGCGGTTTAGATTTTTCATACAAAAGGATTTTCCCGCTAATTCTCGTTCCCGTGGGAATTCCTAAGTATACTATAACCTGCCCAGGAGTATGAAGAATATTTAGTAGTTTTTGTTTCTATAAGGAACATACAGACAGACAGACAGACAAAAATTTTACTGATTGCATTTTTGGCATCAGTATCGATCACTAATCACCCCCTGATAGTTATTTTGAAAATATTATATTTCATGTACAGAATTGACCTCTCTATAGATTTATTATAAGTATAGATAATAGGCCGAAGAGACTCAAGACAATAAAAAACGTTATGGTCCTGGGACATTTTTAGAGCTAAAAGCATCGAATCATCAATTAAGTATTCATCTTTTCCGGCTAAACTATAGGATCAAAGTCAAACCAGCTTACAATACCACGACCCTATTAGATGATAAGAATTTAAGCAATCCATTTCGGGATACGTAATCAATATTTTCATTGTAGTCGCATCTACTACCATTAGATTTGCTTCACTGAAATAGGTCGAGCTTTTTCAAGAACTTTTTGTTCCAATTTCCAAGAAAAGCTTGTGATGGCCTATAATGTGGCTTTAATAAGTTCAACGCACCGAATGATCTCGTATTTACATACAAAAATCTTAAATTATTATGTTACAAGCAGCTTTGCCTCGTGAATTTCAGTGTGCCAAAGAAAAACATTATCGTGTGGGCATCTCCAGTTAAATTCATTATCAATTATCATCATCATCATTTCAGCCACAGGTCATCCACTGCTGACGCTTCCACCCTTCCAGTGGCTTAGCCCAAATATGAATTATCACCTAGAGCATAATAGTGAATGGCCATACCACCAACACGAAAGATGATTGATTTCCAAAACAAATTTTCATCCCCTCTTTCAGTTTAGTTCGCGATAAAAAGTAGACATAAAAATACTATGTCCAATTTAATTTTTACAAAAAATAATCAAAAGCGGTTCTTATAGACACACAGATTAATTTTCTCATTTGTAAATTACTATAGATATTTATTAACCTACAAAACTAATACAATTATGTAAGTGCGTATTATGCGGTGAAGTTGATTCGCGCGGGTTGTTCGGGGCGGCTCAGGTTACCGCAAGCCCGAGGTGGTATTGGATTTAAAAATGCATTAGCGTCTTTAAACACAGCTAGACACGGATTGTTTTATCGAGGAAGGGTGGGATTAATATTAACAAACGGCAGTGGGAAGGTTTTTTGAATTTATTTTGATAGTAAAAAAACTTGAAAAATATGAAAGCGACGATTATTTATTATCTAGTATTCTAGTGCATACTCGTATTATGGGATAAATTACAAACTAAGCTGTTCACTTGTATTGCTCTCAGTTAAAGGTAGTCTTTCAAATACAGATGACTGCATTCTGTAATACAGGCAATTTTGCAACAAAAAATATAAAATACTTAAAGTGCTGTGAACACACGCTTTAATTAGTAAAATTTACAAAACTTGCAAACTTCAGGCGATGCAAAGTTGGTGGTAATTGGTAGTAATTCTCAAGCGAGAAAATAATAAAATGTTTAATAAAGTCCCACAATAACTTGTAGGACTTCCTGTTCATGCAAATTCAAATTACTGATAAAGAATTAACCCTTAGTAAAAAGGTAATGTAGTCGTAGCTATATGGCGTAGTTACGTGTCTGGCTCGCACTTATTTACCTTACAAATAGGCGCGGATCCAGCCCTCAAAAAAGGTTGTGGGCACAGCCACCAAAAAATAGCAAAGTGAGAGTTGGATCAATACATGCCCGGACATACATACATGCCTATCGATCTTATCAATAGATCATAATTAAAACAAGCAAATTAGGGTTGTGGGCATGCCCACAGTGCCCACAACGGTGGATCCGCGCCTGCAAATATAGGCTGAAAAAAGTGCAGTCACCTTTTTTCTTCATTAACAATAATTTCTTTTTAACACTGTTGTGCCGAAGTGGTTATTATATTATTTATTCTATTAACTATATTGGGCAATGTACATAAAAACTTATAAATCAATTGAACATACCTAATTTAAGTTGATTGATACATTAGAAGTAGGTACTGACTTAAGCGATAGATGATACCCACGCAGATTGTTCGTTAAACAACTTACATTAAAGTAGATAATTTACTTAACTAAGTACTTGAATCACAATAGAGTATCAGTAGAGTAACCTTTGTGGATAAACAATTGACTGTAACTAAGTATACTTTATTCTGCTTCCGCTTCTAAGTATAATACTACCTTTACAACTTCAAAAAGCGTGAGTGAACTTTAAAATGCACGGATTCATAAATTGGAAAATAGTGAAAAAAGTAGGTCTTATTTTGGTAAGTCGCATTTAATTAAAGCATAGTATATATACGAGTAGGTATAATGAGTTTGTATTGTTATTGTAATAGTTAGGCAACAAAAATGTTACAGCTTGGTTCTACATACATTTATATATTTAAACAATATAGGTAATACAGCTTTAAAGCTTTTATTAGCATGAAAAATAAATATTAGTTTTAGATTTTATATTTCGAATATTTTTTCCAGCTTTTGATTCATTGCTACGTTCAAATTACAGCACATGTTAAGATTTTTAAAGCCATTCCCCGTATAAAATATCATTTCACCACAATAATAATTTTATGGTATCACATTGAGTATTTACGAATTTTACCCTCCCTCGCGCGATTCGTAGTCTCGTAGCACGATCGCTACGGGGGATAACTTTTAATGAGGTAAAGTGGCTTGATTTCAACCCTAATTGATTTGAAGAAAAATATAAATACTTGTTGTGGGTGTGTAAATTGTATCCTTAAGATTTCGATTTAACATAGGTAATAATATTACTATGGGTAGATTAAATGTCAATTAAAATAACAAAACTTTCGAGTATGAATGCAATTTTTTTCACATAAAAACTTTTTCTTTGTTGAATAGAAAATTAACAGAATGTCGATATTGTATATTGGTCTCCCGACTTCTTTTATTTTATTGATAGACGATTGAAGTTATTTGACTCTAAATAACGTTAGGAGATTGAACTTACAGGCCAAATGTCATCCCTTTGAGATTCCAATGACCGAATCATGCAACCATGCAATAGTAATGAAGAGCCTCACCCATCATGAACATCTTAGCTGACGTACCGAACAGTTCGGGCGGGCGGGGGAAGGGCGCGTGCAGCAGCTGCAGCGGCGGGCCCGGCGGCGGGCGCGGCGCCAGGATGCTGTCGATGGTGAAGAGCGGCGCCGGCGGGCGCTCCGGCAGCCCGCCCAGCAGCAGCGCCGTGCTCAGCAGCGCCGGCGCCTCGCGCGCCCAGCCGCCGCCCGCCCCGCCCATGCCCTCCGGCCGCGCCACGCTGACCGCTTCACCGCCACGACCGAACCTCGCACTCCACCGACATCACTAGACACCAATTACCAGGATCACCCGTGATGCGATTGCCACTAAATCTTCTTAACGAATACTCGCGTGCTCGCAGCGCACCGCGGCGGCTCCCTCTGGCGGGCGGGCGCCGGGCGTGGCCTGCGACGCCCCGCCCTCCGACTTAATGGATGTGACAATACGACGCTCCCAATCAGTAATAATCTCTATCCCTCCCTATTAGTACATTTTCACAGATAATTTTATGCATGATATAAAATGTTGTGCGGATTGTAGGCTGTTCGGATTAATTCTATGATTTGGAGACTTATGAATTCATTGTACGGCTATGGGCGCTATTATATTGAAGTAGTGCGACTTTTTTTTTACTTTTAAGATGTTTTTGCTTTACTATTTTTTAAGCTAGTTTCTTTTATGGGAAAAAATATTGTTATTTAGAATAGTTAACCTAAGACAATTTGAAAACGGCTTTTTGTCCACGTGTCTAGCTTTATGCGTGATCTTTCGTATTTTTTTAATTCTACTAAAATGTACCTAGCTTTACATACGAGTATTTTTATTTACCAATTACTTATCCTTTCTTATCTTGTAGAACCTCCTCATACACAAAGAACGAGCGCCCTAATATGACATGAGCCACCTACGTCGCCGCCCCCGGATCGCTCCCGGATCACACGTTCTTTGTCGCAATTGTCAAGAGCGCAAGATTAGCCGCGACAGCGGGCGAACAGAGCTGTCTATCTGTCCCACGCGCCCGCGGCGACCGAACGCCTTTTTCTTAAGCCCACAATACATAACAAACGAGAAAAGAATTAATTCCGTTTTTTAAGACGGATTGAGAGGGTGGCAGAATGTTTTGATCATTTTTTTCCGTTTGGAACTGAAACCTTTTGGCCATTTAGTGATCATTTCTTTGCTATTTAGGTACGAGTACAAAAAAGCGCAAAAAATCCGAAAAGCACAGATTAATCCAAACTTATAGCTTTAAGAAAAACTAAAACAGATCTTTTCATTTTAGTTTAACTTATACTTAGTCTGACAATAAAGCACAATTCATGATTTTCAGGAGTAGTTTAATAGTTTTCAGGGTACATACTTATTTAAAAACTTTATTTGCTAGTATTTGAACCTTGCCACCTTGTATTTATGCCACTTTTATAAGTCAAAGTATAATTTACTCGTATAGACTTCCAGAAAAGTTCACACTAAAACTACTCGTATTAAATGACTGAACTGCATACAGAATAATTACCTACATTAGGCTTTGGGACATTTCAGTTTCAGCCAATTACGTAACGAGTGCGGTTCGCTAATTATTATTGTTGTTGCGCGTAAATCCCTGTTTATGTTACATTCATGATGATGCGTCACATTCAATGTGCACAACATTTTCAACATTGAGCATAAATTGCGATTAAAGTTTTGAATTCTATTATTACTTAGACAGGTGATAAACAGACACAACAAAACAAATAAATATTCTGATCTAAAACCTTTATACTTAGGTGACTGTAATAGATCCAGACCCTTTTCATGCCTTAACCCATCTGAACAGAACTTTTTCCAGAAAGATAATGCGAAAACGTTTAAGTTGTAGTAGTTTAGATATTGAACATTGTAACTGTTCACATATTTACTGTAAGTATGTAAAGTACAAAAAAATCGAATCCGATGAAATTTAAAACGTTAAACATTGTGGTGCATTGAGGCATATAATCTGCACTGTGATTCAAACATCGTTCGGATTGACACAGCGCTGTCCGTCCCCGCCGGGGCATGGGCCGCCGGCCGCCATGCAAATATTGACAAAGGTGGGAGCCGAAACCCGAGTCGCTCCTGTTTGCCTGTAATTGATGTAATTAGTCGTGTCGCCAGCTGCCTCGACCTCCAATCCTATGTTTGGACAGTTAATATGATACTTTTATACCGGAAACATCTTAGGGCGACCGGTCCTAGCAAATATTGAGCGCTCGATGATGCGTGGCGTAAGCTGAGGCTATTGGAGTGGAGGCTTCCGTGCGTTGGACAGTGACGCAAATTAGAAAACATGGTGTTTTAGTAATCAAGTCAGCTTAACTTACCACGATCATTCATTATCAAAATATAAAGATAAATAAAACAAGTCTAACTTAAAATTACTTTCATCAAATTAATGTTACCTATTAACTGCTTCTTATTTTTTGCTTAGATTCAAAATCACACTTGAATAATCAAACAGGTGCTGTTTTATAAATCAATCTTTTGCAATAATTTATAATCAAATCAATCGGGGAAAACTTACTTGACTCTTATTAGATAATAGTTATTAAAAAATATTGACTTTGAAAATAATTTGCGCATTCATGAAACAAATTTTATAATTCAATCACAATTGATTGTTTATTACTCGTACAATAAGTACTTACACCACTATGGAATAAAAACAAAACATAATTTTATATTATTTGCAACTGGTGTCAGGTGTGCTATTTTTTTTTAAAAGTTGTCATCGCAATGTGTTTGTTGTGACGAAAATCTTTGTCCCAGACGAATTACATTCACATTTAAAATTCAATCGTATCGATTTCATTTTGCACAGCCCATTGTGAAGTACAAATGCGTATTTACAAAATGCGAGATGTCGCCGGTTTGTCTCGCCGCGGCTAAGCAGCTGCCAACTTCCTACGGCTAATGGAAAATTAACTCGGCATAATAGAGCGATTATCCGCGTATGACTTAATACAGGACGACGCACAAAGGGCGTAAGCATTAAAATAGGTAACAATGGGACGGATTATCCGAGGCTAACCTCCACGCCGATATTGTAGGCCACGCCCGAACTACAAGTCGCACACATATGGGGATTCAACTTACGCACCGTGACCCAATAAACTGGCAACTGCCTACCTTACCCCGATCAACATAAAGGCCAGTTTCGAGTTGTGTTTATCTGTGAAATTGGGTATTAATAATAAGCCTACGAATAACTTAGATGGCAAGCAGATTATCCTGTGACCTACTTTGGCAATGTTAATAACATTTATCTACCTATTTGGGTTAGACAGTAATGAACTGCTAGATTAACTATGTACAAATAACTAACTAACTAAGTAGGTGTTTGTAAAATAATTAAATAGTGTCTTAGATATTATTGTAAAGATAAACACATTGTTAAAAAAATTACACTTTTTTAGTAGGTATTAGGTAAACAAGTTCTAATTCACAAAACACCATAGAAAAATTACTACCATTAATATGATTTCACAACACAATACGATATTGTGAACTCAACCGTCACGAATTCGATGTCATTGGAGTGATTTCCCAGAAATGAAATATCAACGTTTACGTTTCTTCTGAATATAAAAATAAGTTTAACTCACCAATTATGAATAATAATGTCTGTTGACTGAAATTGAAATGTATTTTTGTACAGGCCACTGATTTTCAATTCTACTAGGATCCTACCTTATGCCTATAAGTAGGCCAGTAGAATTAAACACAAAAATTGATTAAATCGGAAATAATTCCTACAAAAGATTTGCTTTAATGGCTTCATTGGTTGCCCATTAAGACTCTCCTAAGTTTTCGACTTCGACGGAGTTGTGCTTAAGTGGTGGGGGCCTCCGAAAGAGGCGTTTTTTCGGTTTTCCGGTTATACCGCGTAAAGGACTTACCCTATCGAAAAGTGGTCTTCATGATGGTTGAAGGGCACTTAATCCTGCATTGAATAAAACCAAATTCAAATGTTTTGGACAAACCGTTCCCGCGCTAAAGTTCGGAAAAGTAGAAAATATACGTATAATTAATGACTCTCTTCACGTCCAATGGCTTGTTACCCACAGGCTTCCAAGTCTTGAAAAGGGTCACCTCAACCAGTGTAAACCTATCAAGGCTTACGAGCTTGATGCGCCTATCCTTGTGCGTCCCAGCCGTTCCTTAACTGCGGTTGGTGCACCTCTTCCTTGCACTCTCCTGAACGACCCTGTGCTACCTACTGTGGCTGTCCCTCTTCCTTGCAGCCTCCTGCACGACTACGTTGCCTAGCCGTATGCCTTGATAGGGTTACACTGGTTGAGGCGCTCCTTTTCAAGACTTGGAAGCCTGCGGGTAACGAGCCATTGGACGTGGAGAGGATCATTAATTATACACATATTTTCTACTTTGCCGAACATTTGCACGAGAAAGGTTTGTTCAAAACATATGAATTTGGTCTTATTTAATGCAGAATTAAATGCCCTTTAACCATCAGGAAGACCACTTTTCGATAGGGTAAGTCCTTTACGCGGTATAACTGAAAAACCGAAAAAGCGCCCCTTTTGGGGGCCCGCACCACTTAAGCACAACTCCGTCGATGTCGAAAACTTAGGAGAGTCTTAATGGGCAACCAATGAAGCCATTAAAGCAATAAAATCTTTTGTAGGAATTATTTCCGATTTAAAAGCTAATTCTACTGGACTACTAGCCTAAACACACTGTTAAGTTTTTGTCAGGATGTCTCTTAGACCCTGTATACAGTGTGTGCAGGCCTTTGTTCAAACGATCATAGCAAACGTTGTGATAGGGATAGAGACATGCGATTTTTGGTTTTACGAAAGTAATACGATAGAGAATAATACAAAGTAATAAAAACCACCAGTTATAGGGGCATTTTTTGGAGAAATTTATCAAATAACCAAAAAAACACGAATTTTTAAGCAGATTTTTTTCAAAAATTATAATTTTTTGTTATTTGTTTGCCTTTTTTTGTGTATTTTATGTATTTTTTTAGTATTGCCTGTTATTTAGAATTATTACTGTTTTTATTTTNCCCTGCTACGATTACGATGTCGTCGGTCCACCTTGTAGGTGGACGTCCCACGCTGCGTTTTCCGGTACGCGGCCTCCACCCGCTGTAAACCGCTTATTACCGCGTAATCTTTCATACAAATAACTTAAATAAAAAAATAATAATTTCATAAATCAATGGTACGGAACCGTTTGTGCGTGAGTCCGACACGCACTTGGCCGGTTTTTCAAAATAATTTAAAGAAGTTAGAAAGAAAGGAAGAAATATAATTCATTGAACACAGTAAGCACAAATTATAAACAATAGTATTAGTATTAGT